ATAGATAGATAGATATAGATAGATAAAGAAATAGATATACAGACAGATAGATAGATAAACACATGGATATACAAACCGACAGATAGATAGACAGACAGACAGATAACAAGACATATAAATACACATAGATAGACAGAAGGACTGAAACTGGAAGGCCTACCCGACGGAGGTGGTCCTCGTGTGTGAGAGCGACATCTGACGGAGCGGAGGTCGCACTGGACGCAGACAAGGGCACAGCGCAGCGTAGAAGCTCTCGCGGAAGTTTTTGGACAAGAAACCGTAGACGATTGGGTTGATGCAGCTGAAAATACATACATGTATACATTTATATATGTCTATTTATTCACTTATTTATCTATCTATCTATCTAACTGTCTGTCTATCTATCTATCTATCTGGCTGTCTGTCTGTCTGTCTATCTTTCTATCTATCTATCTGTCTGTCTGTCTATTTATCTATCTATCTAACTATCTATCTATCTATCTATCCACCTGTTTATCTGTCTGTGTATTTTTCTATCTATCTAAATATCTGTCTATCTATCTATCAATCTATTTATCTACCTATCTACCTATCTACCTGTATATCTGTTTGTCTATCTATGTGTCTATCTATCTGTCTACCTCTCCATGTATCTCTGTATATATCAGTCTGTCTATATATCTATCTATATGTCAATCAACAAACACACATAAACTGTATAGTTATTTAGACATAAGCATATTGTGTACGTTACTGTATACAAATTTGCATATCAACATCTATTTTTCTCTTGAATCTAAGCAACGAGGTCACTTCTATTTTGATAAACATGAAGTTAATTCTTATCGTGCTATTTATAAAGTTAATAAGGTGGACTATTTTTTTTTTTTTTTTTTTTTTTTTTTTTAGCAATTCAACTATACCATTCCTATCCTTCCTGCCTCCCACTACAGGAAGATGATAGTGAAAGAATAAAAATAAAGCGAAGAACAATGGTAAAAATCCAATCAATTAAGATAAAAAACACTAATAATTAAAATCTAAAAATCAGGTCATTTATCCCCTCCCCCCAAAAAAAGAATAAAAAAAAAATAAACAAATAAAAAAATAATAAAAACAAAAAAAAAAATAAAAAAAAAATAAATGAAATAAAGATACAATCATTTCCCATTAACCTAGCTTCACATCCCACCTGTTAAAATAAGCCAGAAGGTGAACAGCGTTGAGCAGATGCTTGTAGAATGAGTGTGGTTCAAAGAGTGGCATTAACTTAAACGATTTTATGACGTTGGTGATGAGGAGCGGCGCCCAGCAGATGATGAACAGCACCACAACCACTACCAGCATCGTCACTATCTGTTGGAGGAGGGATATAGTGCCACTGTAAGAAAGGGGGGAAGGGGAAGGTCTTGGCAGGATGGTTGGTGTGTGTTTTTATTTGTTTGGGGTGATTTTCCCTATTTTTGCTGTGTGTGTTTGTGTGTTTGTCTATTTTTGTTAGTTTGGTTGTCTGTCTGTCTGTCTCTTCTTTTCTCTTAATTTCTCTCTCTTTCTCTCTCTCTCTCTCTATCTATCTCTCTCTCTCTCTCTCTCTCTCTCTCTCTCTCTCTCTCTCTCTCTCTCTCTCTCTCTCTCTACTTTCTCTCTCTCTCTCTCTCTCTCTCTCTCTCACTCTCTTTTACTCACTCTCTCTCTCTCTCACTCTCTCTTACTCACTCTCTCTTACTCACTCTCTCTCTCTCTCTCTCTCTCTTGCCTATTTTTTCTCTCTCCCTCTATTTGTTTGTCTGCCGAGAGAGAGCATGTCCCTGTTTGCAAATCAAAATACTTTCTTTTCCATACACCACCATTTCTCCGTTTTCATTGTATCCTAACAGTTCTGTGTATTTACATTTCTGTTTTGCAAACATAGTAATGGTGCAAAAGTGGAAACAACAGTGCAGTTCGGAATATTATAATTATTGATGAATGCTTTATAGTTTTAGTTTGTATTACTATTAAGTCCATCTTTGCTATTGTTAAACTAGCATGTATTATTTTCAGTCACAACATGCTCCTATTAATACAACCATTTCAAATTACAGTATTATAGTCATGCTCTACATTCATCATTTCTAATTACACAGTATTATTAGATCACAGTGTAATGACGGCCCTCGCCCTGTGGTCGATAATTCGCTTGTCAAGTTGCGTGCCCTCTGAACCAAGGCAACTCACTGATGGAGATAACTAATTATAACCTTATTCCCGTCGCCTATGTTCATAATATCTCTAATTATAGAGTTTCGTTGATTCTAGATATTGCAATTCATAGTAATAATATGATAGTAAAAAAAAAAAAAACATATATCATTACCCTAACCAATCAAAGTCTTTCGTAATTTCTAATACAATAAACAGACACTAGTTCCACAGATGATTGTTGTGAGAATAAACAGACACAGGAATTGAAAGTCCCTGTTACTACTAATGAATATCCAATCAAGAGGAAAGGTTTATTGACCAAAGTTAGGGCTAA